CCCCCCCCCAATTTTTTTGAAAGGACTAAAAGTGTCCTTTTTGCGATGAAAAGTGCCCTTTTTGTACACGCTAATGTCGCTGCAAATACAGATTTGAACACAGGTTTAAGAACTTGTCTGTGGGGTGGGCATCAACAAAAACTAAAAAAGGGACCATACTATATTGAGTGTGGAGAGATGACAGATGGTTGTTGGTGACAAAAAGTTTGGTGTGGACTATCGTGTGTACTAGGGGAGTCTGGGGGTATTCTCCCCCAGAATTTTTTTGTATTTTTCCACCCATTGTTTATGTAAATATCACAACTGGGTCACTAGGGGGTAGGAAGCTTAAACTTAGTGGGCCCGGCTCCCACGATTGAGAGGCGCTACCATGGTTGGCGTCGAGCAGGGAAATTTTGAAAATTTTGAGTCTCTAGATCATTGGAAATAGCATTTTCAGAGTCTTTTAAGATTAAAATCTTTTTTGCTATTTGTGATTATAGAAATCAGAAGTCTAGACATGGTATTTATAAGTTCAAAAACTGTCCAGCCTGCTAGAAAATTAACATAATAAAACCCAACACTTTTCCCTAGGCAATAAATGATCTGGCATTTAACGGCATTAGAGAGTCCCAATAAAAAACATAAAAATATGGCACATTGAACACATTTTAAGGCTGGCATGACAGGTTGGCCAGAGTATGTGCATTCCCTGAGTCTTGTAACTGTTTATCACCTGCTTAATCAATCTGGCAAGCCAGGCTCTCTACTAATTACGAGGTTGCATGTTGCTTAATTTATTATGTTACAATATTGCACAGGTGGATCCAGCAAGGTTTTTCTAGGGGGTGCTGGGTGAGCAGCTGTTTCTTTATAATTATTTAGGGGGTTGGTGGGGGAGCATTCAAATGAATTGGCTTCCTAATGACTCGAGTGCCGAAGGCGCGAGCTCCCTAGGGTCCAGGGGTATGCCCCCAGAAAATTTTGAAAATTAGAACCCTAGAAATGCCATCTCCTGCAATATGGGCATTGAATTATGAGCTTCAGTTAGACTTCGAAAAAGGAAAAACCTTGGAAATTGTTCCATATTTCTGAATTTGATTTTTTTGCATCCGTGTTGACCAAGGCCAACAGGTGCGCACTCCTGTGCACCCCCCCTATAAATCCACCCCTGCGTACATGTAGCAGCTCTCATTAAAAATTTAAATTCATTTATACCTGTTTAGCATATGACTTTCCAATACCATCTGTACAACCTGTAACCACTAACATAGGAAACAATGATTAAGGAATGCCATGCTCTAAGGCAACTGGTAACATACATGCATGGCTGCTAAAATCACCTGACAATGCAGCTACAAGATCAATAGTCAGAACACAGTCTACCACATCACCCTTAATTAATTAATCTAACCATGGATTGGATTATTAAATAATTTACTTGTATGTAAATATATCATGATCATGATAACATATCACATTGATATTGGGCGACCTGATATCAAATTTGGCGACCTGATCTTATTCATGCATTGGTAGCCACTTCAGGGCAACTAAACACATTTTAAAATTTCAATGCCTGGTCGCACCCCATTTCATAACTAGAACTCCCCTCTAACTCAGGGTAATTGCTCACACAATTGTACAGACGGTTACATAGAATTATTAGTGCTGTAACCATTCTACTTACTCAGTGGCGTAAAAACCTATAAAAGTCTGGTTCCAAATATCACAATTCACATGCACTGTTTAGGAGCATGCAGCAAACATGCAATCGCACTCATATACACTCAGTGGCACACTCATATTAAATTACACTCATATATTAAATAATAACTATTAAATAAGAAGAAGGATGTTAGGACTAACATGTTTAAATAAATTTTTATGTATGTATGTATGTAATTAATGTATGTAAATAAAACTTAGCTAAAGTTAGCAATATAGCAAGCAATATATGATTCTGCACAATGCATATATGCCAATGATATGCCACTGACAACATATGCATTTTATTCAATGTGTTTTGTTCTTTGTAGGATTCCTACAGCTCTAAGTACGTACCGATAAAAACATTTAAACAATTAGAATTCTATTTGATAGTTTTATCTGTACATTAAATAGCAACGCTAATCGACATGATTAAAGTATCTAATATTGTCAGTAAATTGAGTCAAATTGAACAAGTCGGGACGATCTTTATTCATTTCATCAAGTGACTCATATGTTCTGAAAGATTTGCATAATTAAAAAAGGGAAGGAAGGGAAAAATTTAAAAATTTCTGAGGGGGTTTTGTGTTGGAACTTTGATTCTTTTTTTTCTTAGGGATCGGTCATTATTTATGGATAGGGAGGAATTTTTTCTTCTCTAAATTTTAAAAATTGAAAGCCCCTCTTGAAATAATACGTTAATTGCCCATTTACCTCTGCAATCAGTATAAAGACTGATTTGCATACAGCACGACATTAAGCAAATTCTTTCAAATTTAATTGCACATTTTCACTCCACCCCTCAATTTTCTTGAAAAAATTAATATCCCCCTCTCCTAGTCATTTATTTATACCCATGACCCCTATTTGCCCCCCCCCCCTCATAAATAATGACCGGTCCCTTAGGGGTTAAAATTTTACTGACTTCATCCAGGGGTATGGACATTAATGTACTGGCCCAGAATAAATGCCCATGCTTGTATGAAAACATCCAAATACCTGCAATATATAAATTCCTAGAATTTGACTTCACCTTTACTTGACCACAACAAATACATGGGTGGATGACAAAACCCCCCTAGAATCTCTCTAACCCCTCTAATAAAGTGTTCAACCCCACCAAAATTTGGCTTCACCCCTCCTATTGTGTGAAAGGCCTTAACCCAAACGCCTAACCCCTGCCTGCCCGAAGCTCACTGAGTATAGTGCTGCTTGCACCCCACCAGAAATTTTTCTACCCCTCCTTATAAATGAAAACCGCCCTTGAACAAACAACAAACCAACATAATTTGTAGTAAAATTTCAACCTTATTGAGAGATACGCATTATAATTATAACGATGTATTCATATTTATTAGATAGTCTGCATTTTATACCAAGTCTGCATATTTTAGTTTGTCTGTGGCAACAAATATAATCGCGCTAAATTTAGTCAATATCAAAACACAAATCAGTAAAAGTACTACCTGCCCATTCACCAAAGCGGGTGAAATCAATGTTTCCTCCAACAAAAGTCGTTTTCAATACTTCCCAAACAAACTTGAGACATTTGAATAACAAATAATACACGTACACACTACCGATGAAATATGTAAGATAGTAAAGCTCATTTGCGAAAGACATTATGATCGATATGAATTATTTAATTATATAAACCACAGTTTATAGACTAAGATATAAATATATCTGTGTATAAACAGATCTGAAAGACCAATATCAGTCAACAGTGAGTGTTACATTCCGGAAGTTTGAGTATTTGGTTATATTATGGAGGCCAGGGGCCGCGGAACCGGGGGAGCAATGGGGGCATGTGCCCCCCCCCCCCACACTTTTTTTAAAAGTGAAAAAGTGCTCTTTTTTCTGGGCTAAAGTGCCCCATTTACAGAACGAAAAAAGTATTTCTTGAATAAACGACCTCTTTTGCTGGAAAGAAAGTGCCCTTTCTGCAGTAGTAAAGACTCTATAAAGGCCATCGAAATGCTTCTGCGGCCTCTGATGGAGCCTCGTTTTTGTGATTTGCAATATTGGGTTTTGAGCCCTATAAGTAGTTACAGGCGATATGTTTACGAAATCGTAGTTATATTTGTTAAATATAAAATACCTTAGTTTATATAATTAGGTCACCACTAACGGGATAAGGAAATCGTCTGGCATTAGACAGTGTAAAATAATAAAGTTACGGGAGCATCAGGGCGCAACGCAACTCAAATGGGTTTATCCCGAAAATGAGGCTCTATAGCCAAAGCTAAGTACTTTCCTGACGGCTCTATGGCAATTTTGTGAAGGTCACTGTTTCCATTTCCAAAACAGGCAAAGCCTATGCACAACAACGCTTGCATAGCAATAGCAAGCTTTTCTTGGTAGGGATGTAACTACCTACAAAAATATAAGTACAGCTGACAGCAATATATATTTTTGCCACATGACATGGGTGATTTATTTTTGCCTTACTACAGATATTTAGAGAACTAAGATAAAAAACTTTCAGTGAACACATAAAAATGTTATATTAGTAATTGTATAAATAAATAAATATAAATATTTGTATATATATATATTATGCTAACTGCTGAAATGCATTCATAGCCTATAAAGAGGCATTATATCATTGAGAGTTTTGTTATGGAACATAATAAATAATCTCCTCTTAATACATACCAATCGAGTGCACAGCTACAATCAGCAACAAAATATGTGGATGGGTTAGGCTGAGATTGTAACATAATACCCCTACCCCCCCCCTGTTCAATGTTGTTAGACTAAAATTGGCACTTTATTTAAAGTAGATTTGTGTTGTACTGCATTCATTTGCTGATAACTCTCCCAGAACACACAGCAACATTAAAATGGGAAGATACAGCCATCAATACATGTTATTTTGACAATTGTGTAAAAAATAACCTTCCAATCTAAGTGTCCCACCTTATCATGTTGCTGATTGTACTGTAGTTGACATCATACTAAGAGGAAAATTCTAGGTGTTCTATATCTATGTGTGCACCATAGTTACATTGTATGGAGGCGGAGGATCATTGGGGTACAGTAGGGGTTGATTGGGGCTTGGTGGGGGTTGGTTGGGGTGTGGGGGTTGATTGGGGTATGGTGGTGGTAATTCATTGGGGTATGGTGGTGGGGATTGGGAATACATTTGTAGTTCTTGTTGTTGTTGGTTTTCAAGGAGTGTAGTTGCTATGGTTGCAGACTGTATTTCTCCTTCGTCAGCAAGACTTCTTGAGGTTGTCGCTTTGATCTTACGACAATAGCAAAACACTAACAGAAAGACGACAATTATCAAAGGAGTAACTATGCCGACTACAAGATGCCAGACACGGCCACTCTCTGTGTTGCAATCTCCTGTTTTACATTTCTTATCATGGTCACAACATTGACCAGCAGAACAATCGTTATCTGAGTTACACGATTCACCGGTACAAGTCTTGAAACATTTCTTGTAATTAGAACGACAACAAAATAGACCCAGTGCACAATGTTGATCCTCCTCACATGATTCTCCAATACAAGAAGCAGCACAAGTACCATTAATACCTTGCTGGAGACCACAACAGGATTCACCTGATGCACAGTCACTATTCCTTTTACATAAATGCCCAATACAAGATCTCGCACATTTACCACGACTATCACAACAAGATTCACCAGATGCGCAGTCATTATCCCCGGAACAAAATTCTCCAAGACAATTGAAGGCACATGTTTCAGTAGAACGACAACAATGTTCATCTGTTCCGCATTGCTGATCATCTTTACATGATTTTCCAATACAAGATCTAGCACATTTGCCAGTAAGACTTTGGCCACGATCACAACAATGCCCATCCGGATTACAGTTGCCATTATAGAAACACATTTCTCCAATACAATTTAAGGCACATGTTTTATTAATTGAACCACAACAATATTCACCTGATCCGCAGGTGTAATAATCTTTACATGATTTTCCAATACACGATCTAGCACATCTACCAAATATATGACCTTCACCACGATCACAACAATATTCACCCGATCTGCAGCCGCTATTAGAGGTACAAAATTCTTCAATACAACTGAGCAAGGAACAGGTTCTATTATAAATTGAACCACAACAATATTCACCTGATCCACAGTCATCATTCCTTTGACATGATCTTCCAACACAAGATCTAGCACAAATACCTCGACCTTGACTAAGATCACAACAAATTGCCCCAGATCGATATCCGCAATCAGAATAATCTTTACACGATTTTCCAATACAAGATCGAGCACATTTGCCAACAGGACCTTGACCAAGATCACAACAATATTTACCTGATGGGCAGTCACTACCATAGGAACAAGAGGGACAATTTAAGGTACTTAAGGTACATGTTCCATTACAACAATATTCACCTGGTGCACATTGGCTAAAGGAGGTACAAGGTTCATCAATGCAATTGGACCGACAAACATTGTTTTTTTTACAACAATGCGGTTTATCTGGGTAAATACAAAAGTTTCCATACAAACACCCAGTGATCCCAGTCGCTACTTGTGAAAACAGAGCAAGAAATAACACACAAAAACATACAGTGTTCTTTATAATTATACACGCCATTCGTTTCGAAGCTTGTGAGGGAATATTACGGAACTGAAATTAAATTGTTATGAACAAGTCCCAACAGCTGCCGTCTTTGTCAAAGTTCTTGCAAATTCTGATCCTTTCTCATCAGAAAATTGTATCTCTATTACTCTAATCTCTAGGCCACTCTAGCTGCCGACACCAAAGCTGAAACCACTGCGAGCTAAATCCTGGCCAATCAGCGCCAGCAATCTATCGTCTTATTCGTCTCTGATCTTTATGTACAGTTCTGGAGTGATCACGAGTTATTTCGCTATCTCGTACCAGAATATGTAGATGAAATTATCGAGTGAAAGTTTTATATACATAAATTTATTAATTACCAGAAACAGCTGCAAAAAATGGAACTATATATACGTTCAGTTCAGGGGCGTAGGAAGCATCAAAAGATTGGGGGAGGGGGGGCACCGGCTTCCAGGGGCACTTTGGGATATTGAAAATTAGGGCACCTAAAAAATTTTCCCCGGAAATGTTGGCGACGGGCGGGCGGGATTTTCCTGTCATGCCATACCGAAATTGCATGTTTTGACCAAATTTTCAGTTTTAAAAAACTTGGAAATTTCCAAACCGAAAGGGCATCTTTAAAGTTAATTTAGTATTTACAGCGACATTAGCTTGTACAAAAAGGGTACTTTTCATCACAAAAAAGGGCACTTTTCATCACAAAAAGGGCACTTTTAGAACTTTGAAAAAATTAGGAGAGAGAGAGAGGTCCTACCGCCATTAGTTCGGGTCTTCTACATATAACTAGATCCAAATGATTTATGGAGTTAGCAATTAACACAATAAGTAATAGAGGTGTGCATCGGATCGGACGTTTATAATCCGACAATTGGCTAATGTTTAAAATCCGATCCGAAATTGTGTAATCCGAATCCGATCCGAGTTGTGATAAAGAATCCCAATCCGATCCGATCCGAAGAATCCTTTAACAAAATAAATTTTTCATTCAAGTTGAAATGTTTAACCACAGGCAGCCCAATCTCAGAATGAATGATCAGGTGTTGCGGGTTTTTAACGGTTTTTATAAACAAATTTTAAATAGTCAACCAAAACTATTCTAAAAACATTCTCAAATTGGTCAAATAAATACATTTTAACAATAAAATATAGTTGACATGATAGTATAATACCTTTGCATTCTTTTAATTAATCCATGAGCTCATTTAGAGCGGTTGATGTAACATTTTCTGTGGCC